AGGTGGTTTTTAGTGTTTGTGTGGCCAAGAGCATTGTGGGGGTCACCATGACAGCGACTTCTGTGGTGGTAAATGGCTTCTGTCGAACATGTCCAAGTTTACTGGGACAGCATTCCTGTACCCGTGTGGTTCGTGAAGACAAGGCTATTGTGTGGGTAACATCAAGTGTTGGTGGTAGAAAATGGCCTCATCAGTGCATGTAAAAACAGCCACTGAATGTTATTAATCACAAATGTTGCCAACTACTTAAGAATTGAAAATTTGCATCCCAAGTCTCTACCAATCCTGGAAAGAAATGTTAAGTGCACCCCTGTGGTCACCATCCTTCTTAGGGGATTTATAGCACAGTCACTGTGTGAAAGGGGCTGCTGCATCTGTTTTCTGTTTGGTGCAGAGCAGGTTGTATACAGCAACTTTTTAAAGCTTTTTGTCTGAAGACAGTTGCCTGCCAGGGAATGGAAATACAGTGCCGTCTATAACTTTATTCACAGTAGAGTGAAATGGATGTTTTTGCTACTGTAGGCATTTGAATTTAACATCAAAATTATTCATTGCTTTTAAAGTTTGATAGAGTGGCAGTTAAGGCTGAACAGTATGCAAAATAAATTATATTGCAGTAATTTATTACAGATATTAGGATTGCGATGTGCCCCACATTTTTAGTGGGAATGGTAATTTCTTTTCCAGTGAAGAAAACATAAAAATACCAAACAAACATGTTCCCTTATGTCTCGAGAATGTGATTTGTAGGCTGGAACAACTCTATAGCCTCACAATATCTCATTTATATTTGAATGTTGGGGCACATTTTACCTTTATCAAACACTGTTCAGCCCTAGTGGCATTTATGTTTTTTTTGAACAAGCTCAGTAGCTTTAGTTTCCACAAACTCGTTATAAAGCTGTTGTTCAGTGTCTTATTTAAATACAGAAGCAGAAGTTAAAATTGGATTTTTTTTCTCCTAACGTAATGGTAGTAGGGAGATGTCTTGTATTTCAAAATTTTCCCCTCATCCATAGAGCCTGAGGTTGTAAATGTTTGCCTTAAAGATGTGGAGTTGTTACTGATTGAAATCCGGTATGGGGTTTTTTTTATGTTTTTAGGAGGAAATTCTTTAAAAAAAAATAAATAGCCCTGGGCTCAAAATGATAAAGAAGCAGATGCACAGAGAAAGACAAGTTTGTGTATGTGCTGCAGTTTGGATGCTGTTGTCATAGATTATTAAAGTTTCGCTGCAGTGCTCCACGATACTGAAGCTTTTCAATAGCCACCATGTGGATAAATTGTAATTTAGAAGCTTTGTGATTCAACAATATGCTGCAGTTTTGTAGATGCACCACTTGCTCTGGTGGAAAATTTCCTCTAATCGCACAAACGTACCTTCCATCCCTGCTCTATTCCTACCGTTTTACATGACAGAACAATTTTCCATTTGCATCAGAGGGACTGTGACAGAACATTGATTGTTTTTCTCTTGTCTCTGTGCACATCAGTCTTGTCAAAACTCTGGTTCCATCAAATGATACCTAACAGTCTTTTCCTTTGTTTTAATCCTCTACAAACAAAATGAAATGTAGAGTTTCTGCTATTTGTCTCCTGAGAAGGAAGCTTTGTATGGTGCTGTGTATGCCTGTCATCTCTCCCGAGCGATTCCTCTAAACAGCCAGCTCACATTGTTCTTTTCAGCTTCAGTAACCCCCTCCATTAACCCTCCTCTTCATTAGGAACCAATTAAAGTGGTAGATGTTCATTGCCAGGCAGCAGTGAGAGCATCTAAAATAATGGGATGGTTACAAACAAACTGCACTTGAACCAAAGGGGAGCAGACTAGAAGCCAATTTGCATACGAGACACTCCTGCAGATGAGTCATCATCACACTCTTTTAGGAGTGCAAACCTTATGCTGCGCTATGCGTTTTCCATTTACACCAGTAAAGCTAAGCTGCAGAAAGCTCCAAGGTAGGCAGGATTGAATGAAAGCGTAGAGCTGGGAAAGCTGCAGGGGTCAACAATTAAAAAAAAAAAAAAGAATGGATTTAGATGTGTTGTGTAAAGGTTCCTGTAAACATGTTACACAATGCCAGTGAACTTCTGCAAAATGAGGCCAATTTTCCGATGACATGAAATTTGGAAGGCTAGTGAAAAAGTAAAATCTGACAAGGTTCGCCATACTGTGCCAGAGATCCTAGACTTCATAAATAATGAGGTAAAGAGGGAAAACAGATCCTCATATATCTCTCAAAGCGTGCAGAAATGCTGGCAGCTCCTCATTGAAGACAATCGTCTGTGTTCTTGTTGGACTGTCTTCTCTGTTGCTGCTATAAAAACTCCCACTGATTGGCTGGTGTGCAGCACAGCGGAGGTGGATCAGGAGGGGATAGTGTGAACATCCTGATGAAGCTCATAGCAGGTGGCTCATAACAAGCTCCTGGTCACATGATGTGTTATAGAGGCTCCACTGTGGGGATGTGTAGCAAGCAGGGCTGCAACTAACATATTTTTGTATTAACTATGTTACAGATTTCTTGATTAATCCAAACTTTTTTCTCCAAAACAGCAAAATGACTATTTAAGTTCATTTTATGTTGACAACGGTATGTCACTGTATATTGCAACATAGTGCGAAATGTCAACAAAGATTTACAAAGCAGTGAAAAACAAACTGGAGACATGATCAGAGGGCTGAATATTTATTTATTTGTTTTATTCATTCATTCATTCATTCATTCATTCATTCATTCATTCATTCATTCATGCATGCATTCATTCATTCATTCATTCATTCATTCATTCATTCATTCATTTATTTAAATATAAGTCAGTGGTAAAACTCCACAAGTAATTTAAGTTTCTATCAAACCCTTTCAGAAAATGAAAAGGTGTGACCTGTATATTAAAGTAAAGCCTTGAGTAGTTAAAGCAACTCCTTTTCTCCTTACTGTGTAATTGTTCTCTGACTTTGGTTGTATCCTAAAATTTATATGAAAATACAGATGAATTGTCAGTGAAGCGGTCGTCTTTAACTCACTGGTACAGTGAATTTGTGAGGGCTTTGTGGTTATAAAATCATTATTTTAGCTGTGCAGAGCAGCTGCTGAGTTAGCATGTATTCTTACTAGGCTGGGTTTCAGTCTTTATGTCATTCTTGTTTTGTCGTCTGACAACAGAAACAAACAAAAAAATGTAAATAAGAACAGCTTTATTGGGAATTTGGCTGTATTAAAATACAGTATATGTGAGCACAGGGGACAGGAGTGAAGCTAGCAGATGTGAAAGACCTCCATGCTGAAGAGCCTGTGGGTTTTCTCTTTGGGTGTTCGTGCATTGTGCTGGTGTTGTGAGTTTTTTGGGGGGCATAGTGTAAGTGATTGTTTATTGCTGTTAAAAGTTAAATTGATTAAATATGTATTGACTGCTAAGGCAGAAGACAAGAGTCATTTAATTTAACTTTCAGAGAATGTGTTGTAGACTTGCTGTAGTACCTGGTTGTTCCACCAGATGGAGCCTCTTACTGTTTAGTGAGATGGAGTTACAGGTGTGTTTGCTGACCGCCCATAAGCTGCTGTTGTCTGACTATTAACTGTGACAGTCATGTTAATGGACTCTGCAGCATTAAGTTGTAAAAATATGTCTGTCTGTCTTAGCTAGCTACCGGAGGCTCATACCAATGCTAAGTGAGCATCTTTAAATGCTAACACAGACCAGGACCTGAGTGTCTGTCAGCAGAGATGCTGTTAACATTCAGGAGCAGCAGGTTTACAAGCTTCCAACAACATTAAAGTGATGATGTGTATCCATGACACTGAATACTGACAGATTTCCTGAACTGATAAAGTTGCTGCGACAGTATTTGGGGACATTAGGGCAACTGTTTCCAGCAGCTGGACTAACAGTAACTACAGTGAACAAGTCACTCCAAAGCCCTATTCACATGGGACTGGTATTACCCGGTGACCTAACATGGTTTAAAAATTACCATCCACATCTGTGTTTCATGTGGTGCATTCACACTGGATAAGAAAAATCTGTGTTTCACTCAGATTTACTGACATCCTCCCCCAATATAATATTAACATGCTGCCATATAATATCTGTTGAGCCTGTTGAACGACAGTGAAATATTCTTTAACCCATGCTGCCATGTCATCCATATTATCATCCTCCAGGATTTTTCTCTTCTGATGAATTTGAGCTTTCTGTGAACTCTTCTCCATTTTGTGTAGCCTGAATTTACACCCAAAGTACTCCAAGCTTTCATTTATAGTCGGAGCCTCCATAATTCTCATTGGAAAAGAGGAAATGTAAGGAGAAAGCATAAACCTTGCAAAGAATACTAAAATTACCCCAAATCATCAGCATGCCAACTGACATAGGACTAATATTTTTACAAAAACTCCCTGTTGGCCAGAATATGGTGGGTAATTTGTGGTGCAGTTTTCAATTTCCAAATACAGATATGGGGATTTGCATGGGATTAAGATCACAGACAACCAAATAAACCAACTGAAGGTCCCCAGGTAACATAAGTCCTGTGCAAATAGCGCTCAAGAAATTAAAAATGTTAAAGGTTATTTAGTGTGGAAGAGTGCAGCTTGTTTGCTGTGTAACTTGGTGTTTATTATTTTTTAAATTCCTGATGTAACTGAGTCAATTTGAGGTTAAAATGAAATGTCAGCGGTTAATAATGGTTTTATTAGTGTATGCACTATGTTTCATTCATTTCACAGATTAATCGAATATTGATTGCTAATGTGGCTGACTATTGGTTAGAGGAGTTCTTCAAAATGTCCATGTCTCGTGACAATTAGAGTAGACGTTGCATACTGTGGTTAAAATATGACAAAATTATATCGATCACTCAACAAAAAAAAAACAATGCGCGTCACCTTTCCTTATTTACTGTCATTAGTCACCTTCTGTGTATACTATTGAGCTGCCCGCTCATCTTGCTGCCCAAAGTGCTGATCTCCCGTCTGTCCTCTTTGCCTCTGTGTTTTCAGATCTGAAGAGGGAGGCCAGTATCTGCCACATGCTGAAGCACCCCCACATTGTGGAGCTGCTGGAGACCTACAGCTCCGACGGGATGCTCTACATGGTGTTTGAGTTGTAAGTCGCAACCTGGCAAGAATTCCACCCAGTGTGATTGAACATAAGAGCCAAAGAACTCACACCAACACTTGTGTGGGTGACAGAAAAGGATCATACATGTGGGAGATGGAGGGTGGATGTCATGGTGGGTTGCAGCTGCAGGAAGATGAGGTGAGGAAAAAGGACGTTACAGAGAGAAGGATGGCGGCGTTAGGAGAGCGTTTGCAGCAGTAGCAGGACTGAGAAAAAGTGAAGCCTGCAGCAGTTTTATATAATCAAAGCTGATATGAGAAAGCTTGTTAGCTGAGGATGGGGGTGGGGTAAGAAGAAAGGAAGAGGGGACAGTGTGCAGAGGGTGAGTGCAGAACTATATATGTGGAGGCAAAAAGATGAGATTAAGATTTCACACTTGCTGCTACCTCCAGCTTTTCTAAAAGCTGCGTCTTCCCCGGAGCTCCTCCCAGCCCGCTCTGTATCTTCATCTCTCCTCCTCTTCCAGAACTAATTCCTTTATCGCTTAATTCTGTTATCGCTGAACAGGCAAACGCTCGCGCACGGCTTCCTCATACGGCTCGGTGCACAGGGAGAAAAACTTTCAAGGAAATGCAAGTGAGCTCCGTTTAAGGGGATTTTTCATGGTTTTGGAGCTCATTTGTGCGCAAGTTTCATACGCTAATGCGCAAGTGGGAACGCAGGTAGAGCTGCAGATTGAGAGCAGAATAGAATAAACATGGTCGATAAATGTGGACAGCTTCCCCATCTCCCAGGTCTCACTCCTGGCTCATCAAGCAGGCGAAAATGTGAGTGTAGTGAGGTAGTAAGAGGAGAGAAAATATGGATGCACTGCAGCCAAGTCCTACATAACAGCCCTGTTTAATTGGCCAGAGGCTTAGTGATAATAAAGAGTAGGTTTTTTAGTAATTGGGGAAAGGATGGGAACAGAGCAATTACAAGACAGAATCAGCTGTGGCTTAATCACCGGGTCACAGCTAAGTGTGAGTGTGTTTGTTCCAGGAATGTCATTCAATCAGCTACTTGTTGGTAACTAAACAGACATCTAAGGGGGACTGAGGAAGTGTAGAGTATTGATTGTGAGATGCAACACTTTTCTGCCACTCCTGGCTGGATCTTGAAGCTGTCATTGTTAGAGCTGCGTCTTTATTGTAAATGAGTCCGGAGGGATTTTATAAATTCAAACGCATTAAAGCTCCCCATCACAGCAACAGCTTCTCCTCCCAGACTTAATATCTGGAGCCGCGTGCAAATATTTCCGTCTCTCTGAGAAGAACATGATTTTAAAAATGACATTTGCTTTGACATGTGGAATTTATTAAAAGATTAACTGATTTCATTCTGCAATTTATAAAATCTTTGGCGTTTCATTCAAGCAGAGGAGTGTGCCAAAATACTGCCGTACTTTCTGAAACCATTCTCGACTGATAATTCACACTGAAAACAAATCCAAGTGCCACGTGGTCTGAATTTACTACCATATCATGCATTTTTTTATTTACAGAGCATTGCTTAGTGTTTTTCAAATTAAGAGAATGCAAAAATACTTCATTGTCTCTGATTTACCTGTAACAAAGACATGAAACACACATGTGGATGGTCATTTCTAATGCATGTGAGGTTCCCAGGCAATCCTAGTCCCATGTGAATACGGCTTTGAAGTGGCTTGTGCACTGTAGTTACTGTTAGTCCAACTGCTGGAAACAGCTGCTTTGATGTCCAGTATTTACGGCCCTCTTTAAAACAGATTTAAATGGTCTGCATGATAAATGATTAGATTTATACTCCGAATAAAGCGATGCTCTTCGTCACTTTTCATTCAAACGTTGCTGGAAGCTCGTTGTCAGAGTCCTGCTGTTTCTGAGCGTTAGCAGCGTCTCTACTGACTGACACTTGGCTTCTGGTCTGTGTAAACATTGAAAAATCTTAAGTTAGCTTTACGTTAGCATGAGCCTGAAGTGGCTCGCTGAATCATACAGCCGCTGGACACCTTTTGCAGCTTGTTTCTGGAGAGTTCCATCTGGCAGCAAAACCAGGTACTACAGCTAAGATACAGCACATTTTCTGACATACATCTCCCTCGTCTTCTGCTGGTCTGTTTTTTTTTTTAAAAAGTCACTTTGAGCCAGTGCATAAGTTCACAGGAATAAAGACAGTATCAGCGTCAGTCTTGGCAGCTGTGATGATCCAGCTGTTTCTATGTCAGCCCACAGATAATTATCGCCTCTCTATGACCTGTGTCTCTCATTTTACCTGCAACACCAGTCAGAGTTGAAGTTTAAATAAGAGTGAACTTTACTTTTTAGCCATATTCCTGCCGTGACCTTTATGCCACACTGATGCTCTCTCACTGTGCATCTCTTTCTCCTTTACTTTGTGTCTCTGCTAGTATGGATGGAGCAGACCTGTGTTTTGAGATCGTGAAGAGGGCAGATGCCGGCTTTGTCTACAGCGAAGCAGTGGCCAGGTGAGGCTTTATGGATTTGATCTTCATCCTTGATAAACTTGCTGATGCAGTTTTGTTTCTTCTAATATTTACAACCATGACATGAGTTTGAACAAACACTTTAATATGGTATAACAGTACGTGCATGTTTTATCGTTCTCAGTCACTACATGAGACAGATCCTTGAGGCGCTACGCTACTGCCACGACAACAATGTCATCCACCGAGATGTTAAGGTATTTCTGACTCACAGTTTTCTTGCTTTACTGCATCCTTACTTAGCTGAAGCTGAAGTGTGAGTGTGGCTGCACTAGTTCATTATCAAGAAAGTCACTGCCAATATCATCCAACTATAAATTCCTTTCCAGCCTGCACCACTTAAAGTAAGGAAAAACAACAGTAACAATTTGAAACTGCAGCTGTAGACCTGCTGATGTTTGCCATCTGCAGGAGGAGAAGAAGATAGTTATAGATATCACCACAGTCATGGAAAAAAATATTAGCCCTCCCTTGTTTTCTTCAATTTCTTGGTCATTTTAATGACTGGTACAACTACAGATACATTTGTTTGGACAAATATGATGATAACAACAAAAATAGCTCATAAGAGTTTAATGTAAGAGCTGATATCTAGCCATTTTCTATGGTTTTCTTGATAATAACCAAATCACTTAAGTTCTTACATAAACAGCTATGGCATTGTACTGCCAAAAACATGCTTTTAGACATTCCATGTTTTCTTTTGTCTGTTTTAGTCACATGATACACACAGGAGCTAGTACTGTTCTCCAACAGCTTCTGACATTGTTCTGCTGTCATAGCAGTCCATTCCTGAAATTCCATTCCAAATTTGCTTTGTTTTTGGGCTTGTGGTTTTCCATTTTGCGTTTGATGATTTTCCACAGGTTTTCAATTGGTTTTAGATCTGGTGATATAGCAGGCCAAGGCATGGTTCCAATGTTCTGGTTCTCCATCCAGGCTTTAACCGACCTTGCAATGTGGTAAGGGGTATTGTGTTGTTGGAAAATCCAGTTATTGGATGCAGGAAAGAGTTTTCCAGCTGATGGAAGAAGACTGTTTTCAAGAGTAGCCCTGTACATGACCTGGTTCATTCGGCCTTCACACAATTTCATTTGCCCAGTTCCACCCATACTGAATCAAGCCCAGATGGTCACTGATCCACCCCCATGTTTTACTGTAGGGGCAAGACAGTCAGGTTTATAGGCTTCTCCAGGCTTCATCCTAACCAGTAAGTTGACTGGAGTGGGCAAATTTGGATTCATCACTGAAGAGAACCTTAGCCCAATCATCAACAGTCCAATCCTTGTGATCCCAGCAAAAAGTAACCAGGCTTTCCTCTGCCTTTTGTTGATGAAGGGCTTCTTCCATGCCTCATGTGACTTCAGACCAGCTTCAAGAAGTCGGTTTTGAACTGTCCTTGTCGAACAAGTCACATTTCTGGACAGTGCCCACTCATTTTTAAGGTCCCTGGAGATCTGACGACAGTTCCTGACACAGGAATGGATGAGTACACGGTCATCTCATGGGTTAGAAAGACATTTCCTGCTGCAACCAGCTAGCGATTTGGTAGTACCATGTTGGACTTGTTTTTTCTTGGTGTAATGAACGGCTGTCTTGGAGATCTTCAGTTTTTTCACTACCTGTCTCTCACTCATGCCAATTTCTAGCAGTGCCAATATGGCTGCCTTTGTGGCTTCACATAATTGTTTGTTTTCAGCATTATGTGAGAGTTGACAGCTTCTGAGTTGTGCTACGGCTCGAATGTAAGCAGGAAACCACTCCAGGCCTTTGCATGTGCAGTGCTTCTCATGACATGACATGGCCACTTATACAGTTAGGTCCATAAAGATGTGGACAGAGACAAAGTTTTCCAAATTTTGGTTCTGTGCAGTACCACAATGAATTTTAAATGAAACTATTCAGATGCAGTTGAAGTGCAGACTTTCAGCTTTAATTCAGAGGACTGAACAAAAAGATTGCATAAAAATATGAAGAAACTAAAGTATTTTTTAAACACAATCCCTTCATTTCAGGGGCTTAAAAGCAATTGGACAAATTAAATAACTGAAAATAAAATGTTAATTTCTAATACTTGGTTGAAAACCCTTTGTTGGCAATGACTGCCTGAAGTCTTGAACTCATGGACATCATCAGACGCTGGGTTTCCTCCTTTTTAATGCTCTGCCAGGCCTTTACTGCAGCGGTTTTCAGTTGATGTTTGTTTGTCCTCTTTCTTCCTGAAGTTTAGTCTTTAACAGGTGAAATGCTTGCTCAATTGGGTTGAGATCAGGTGACTGACTTGGCCATTCAACAATATTCTACTTCTTTGCTTTAATAAGTCCTGGATTGCTTTGGCTGTGTGTTTTGTTTGGTGTATCATTGTCCATCTGTATTATGAAACACTGCCCAATCAATTTGGCTGGATTTGAGCCAACAGTATGTCTCTGAACATTTCAGAATTCATCTGGCTGGTCCTGTCCTGTGTCCCATCATCAATAAACACCAGTGACCCTGTGCCACTGGCACCCATGCATGCCCAAGCCATCACACTACCTCTGCCATGTTTTACAGATGATGTGCTATGCTTTGGATCATGAACTGTACCACGCCTTCTCCATACCTTTTTCTTGCCATCATTCTGGTAGAGGTTGATCTTGGTTTAATTTGTCCAAAGAATGTTCTTCCAGAACTGTACTGGCTTTTATAGATGTTTTTTTTTTTTTTTTTTAGCAAAGTTCAATCTAGCCTTTCTGTTCTTGAGGCTTATGAGTGGCTTGCACCGTGCAGTGAACCCTCTGTACTTACTCTCATGCAGTCTTCTCTTACTTGGACAATGACAGGCTTATTTTCTGGAGAGTGTTTTTAACTTGGTTGGCTGTTGTGAAGGGGTTTCTTTTCCCCATGGAAATGATTCTTCCGTGGGCAAACAGGTCTTTTAGCGTTACTGAGTTCACCAGTGCTTTCTTTCTCTCTCTGGATGTGCCAAACTGTAGATAGTGCCGCTTAATATTGTAGCAATTTCGTAGATGGGTTTTTCTGTTTTCACAGCTTAAGGATGACTTGCTTCACATGCATGGAGAGATCCTTTGACTGCATATTGTCTTCACAGCAAAATTCTCCAAATGCAAGCACCACACCTCAGATCAACTCCAGGCCTTTTATATGTTTAATTGGTAATGACATAACGAAGGAAATGCCCACAGCTGCCCATAAAATGGCCTTTGAGTCAATTGTCCAATTACTTTTGGTCCCTTTTAAAATAGGGTGTCACATATAAAGGAACCGAAACTCCTAAATAGTGTTGTCATGATACTAACATTTTAAACTCGATTTCGATACCACGGAGGGAAAAAAAAATCACCTTTTTATTGAACATTCTTGAGGTAGAATATAACAAATACCACTCCTTTTGTCAAGATGCTTCTGTAATAGTGTAAACAAAGAATTGTAAACAGTCTTTAAGTGTGCACTAAATACTGTAAACAGAATTGTTTTGGAACACAGTTTCACACATAAACTTTTAAAATATAAAAGTATCAGCAGAAGAGAATTTTTTTTTTTTTAAGTGCACACCAGACATGGTCGTCGTTGCTGATGAAATAAAGCAGGTCATGTAGGCTGGAAGGATTCTGCTTGTGGATGATTGGTCTTCTTCATCCTCAGTTTGGCACTAGAAGGAAAATAAACAATGTGTACAAAATTAACAATTATGATGTCACTTTAAACAAAAACCCCTGATTGCACCATCAACTTTAGCTTATTCACCTTTTATCCTGGTTTAACATGAACTCTGGTAGAAAATGTTCAGTGCATTTGTGGTGGAAGTCAGCTTTTACATTTAATGTGGGATGAAATAATTTATCAGTCCATGTCGTGCAATTTTACGTTTCTCCATGTGCTTGCTAAAAGCCTCATAGTGGTAATAATAACACTATGTTTTGGAAAATACGTTTTGCTAAAAGAGCCGCTATGGACATCAGTATATATGTACTGCTACAGCAGCAAGCTGCTAGCTTTACCTCAATGCTAGTGAAGACTTGTTTATTTTTTTAAAACTAAATAAGCACCAATTTGTTGGTGCGACCTGACGTATGTTTAGTAGTACACTATTTATATTATTTACAAACCTGTTTCATTTCGTCGTAGAGAAAAAAAATAAAATATTTGAACAGCAACCAGAGTTGATAATTCTAACTACAGAGACTCAGATAGAAACTATGAAAGTTGAGCTAACGGCCGTGATTTTCCTGTGATGTCTCCAGCTCATGAGTCTGGAGCAGTCAAAGACACAGCTGAGGGGGGGAATTTGGTTGGCTTTGGTCGGCTCTGGGGCACAGCAGAGTCACAGCAGTGCAGTCGAGCTGTAGTAGGAAAGCATGTCAACACGGCTTGTCTTGAAAACAGCGTGGCTAAAGCAGACTGCTGCAAGCTAATGGAAAAACTCCATAAATTGCTGCTGCTGCTGCTTTCTATTCCAGATGTTGGAATGTGTGGAACTGTAGCCTGACATGACTGTTGCCTTCCAGACAAGAATAAGTGAGCCTGTAAGTTTAGAAGTGTAAGTCCAAGTTATGAGGAAAAAAACTGTCCTCTACCTGTGGAGACTTTTAAGTGCTCTGTGTAGAAACCAGATCCAATTCAGTTCCTTCTAGTGTGTGGCTGGATTCGCCTTGATATTGCACCAATTTAAAGACTCGTGTCAGGCGAAAGAAAGTTGTTTGCCTTCATCAGTGGACTTCATGTTCTTATCAGGGCTACATCTGCAGACAAGCCTCAGCAAAATGACTCAGTCAGAATCGCTGGTGGATATAAAACACCTTTTTTTCAGGTGTCAGTCATACAAAGTAAGGCAGGTAATCACTTTGAGTGTTTCCTATTAAAACCATGGCTGCAGCCTGCCGTGTGCTACATGGCAGAAAAGAGTGGACTGACAGCTAGTCCGTAGTTTGCACAGTGGTAAATCTGGATGTCAAATAATGAGATTTCCTCCTATTTCCACTGCAGAATTAGTATGCATTGTAATGTAATGCCTTTTTCCACACACACTGTCTGTAGATATTTGATTTTTGGTGTGCATCTGTGTGAAAAGGTCAATGCATTTGCTTGCATCAGTATCCTTATTGTGTGAGCACACGTCAATCTTTGGTATTTGTCTGCTGCAGGCAGCAGGTAGTATTGTACCAAATCCTAAATAGGGAGAGCCGGTTTGGTCCAG